TTGGAGGTGGATGAGAGGAATCTGTAAACTTTACAAACAGTCTCAATAATCAGAAGACTTGTTACAACTTCAAATCTGTATTTGATGAAATGAATTACTAAATCTTACCAAATAAATATTGATTTGAGGAAATAAAAGATGGTCAAAATGTATTTCCTAAGAATGTATTCATCTGGGGAAAATTAATTTGAGTATCTCAAGTCCTTTTATATAAAAATGCATTTGTGATTCTTAGAGAAATAAAATCTATACACAATCCCTTAATGTAACTAGCTACCAAGATACCATAAGGAATATTACACATGGGATAATATGGTCAGTCAGAAACAGTAGAGTGTAATTAAGTGACTACAGCACCTTGAAATATTAAGATATGCCTTGAAAAGACAGGTCTAAGAATAGAAGGGAAAAACAACAGGATAGAAATTCAGATTCAAATACTCGCTGATGAAGAGTACATAGGAGGGAGTTTGAAGACACCTAAGAATTGGATTAAGAAGAAGCTGTGGCTATTAGGAGGAAGGGAATTACTTGAGAGATGTTATGGGAAGAAAAGTCAACAAAAATGTATGAAATGTCTTAATGACATCCATTCTTTTTCATGATAATTAAAAAAAGACAACTACAATAAAACTCTGACAACTTTGTGAGGAAAAAGAGAAAAAGATGACAATGGTACTCTAAATTAGTCCTCCCCAAATAAATCTAAAGTTTTAAGTCAAATAAAATAAAATCCACTAAAAATGAGCACTAGAAAAAAATGTGTGCTTTGCTTCCTGAGTGTTCTTACCTGGCATTTGGATGGTTAGCACTTTCAGATGGCACCCATGAAGAAGCATGGCCATTCTACAAATGGCAGGAAGAGCCAAGACACCCAGGAAATACAACCACATTCCTTTGAAAACCTAATGTTAGAAATATCATCAAGTTTCTTCTGTCATAGTGCATTTGATGTAATCCACTCAGTAAATCCAGCCCATAGAGGAGATTACAAGGAGGTTGGGATCCACCTTACAAAATGCCTGTGACAGTCCACCCTTAGGACCCTGATATTTAATATATCTTGTGTGCAAAATATGTTTACCGCCCACTACTGCGTCTCAATTTGTCACCCTATTACATACATGCACAAAGCACAGAATTTTGTTATGTAAAACAGGCTCTTAAGTGAAAGTTCTAGGTATAACTTTTTTTTTAAACTGTAGTATTTTCTTAAAACAAAAGAGTCCTCTGCCTCAAATCTAACAGGCAACAGTGGGACCAGCCTAATACATATACTGAACATATTTTTGTTCAAAAATGGGAATAATGGAAGGTATACAGAATTTATCAGATCATAATAAATTTGAAATCCTGGTGGAGAAACATTGGAAGTCCTTACATAATTTCTGAAGGTTAGAATACAATTATTTCCAATTCTTTATTCTGCCCTGTATGAATTTGCTTCTTCTCTCTGTGTAATCCTCACTGTTTCAAATAAACTAGTTGATTTTTGAAGCTGATTCTCTTAGAGTGACTTCTGCCAATAGAATATAGGGGATCTCAATGTCTCTTCTCATTCTTGATTATCTTTGACACTATTTCTATGCATACATATACGCATATGTATACATATATATTAAATAATAGTATATACACACACGATAGTGATTTCTTACAAAGGCATTGAAAATAGAGAAAAATGAGAACTATTTCAGAAATGTATATGATGAGCTTGGACTACCTCGTGTCAATGGAAAGACTAGTAAATTCCTCCAGTACCTATCTTTTAAATTAAAGATGTCACCTGAAGAAACCCTTTGTAGTTCATACACTATAAAATAAATTACTGATGTTGGAAATGCACCAAAGAGAACAGGGCATCATTAGGAACCCCTTTATTGTTAGAACCCCCTTACCGATTCTGAAACTTGGTCAATAAAGTCAAAACTCTATAGGCCTCTAATTTGCAAGGAAGGGTGCTTTTGCTTGATTGTTTCATTGTCAGTAAATGAATAAAAACAAATGCAACTAGGCAGTCAGAACTTTGAAGCCTAATGAAATAATACCTTTGAAAAGTCATCATCATTAGATGGGAAGTTTGTTGAGAATTGTCTAGTTTTATGCTTAAATTTTTAGTTTGGTTTAATTTATCCTTTATAAAGTATGAATCAGGCTGACATTTTAGGCTTCTAATCTATTCTACAGCTAGACCTTTTGTTCTGTTCAGTATGATTTAGTAGGAGGCACACAAAATTTCTCATGAATTATTCTTGCAAACAAAAACCTAGAATGTAACCTAATTTTTCTATCATATTATTGGCTAACAAAAAATATCAAGTCAAGTGAAAATATTTAGTGGTACCATAAGAATAAAATACACAAATCAAGACCAGAAAGAATCTAAATTGCCACCCACTTTTAAGTAGAAAGTAAAGGAGAAATATTAAAATAGAAGAAGAGCCACACAAATAGCTATATCGTAGATTTTAAATGCAACATTAGTACAAGAGAATATTCCAATCATTGAAACCTATTGCCAGGGCTGAGCTAGTGGGCAAAGGTGCTTGCCACCAAAACTCATGACCTGATTCCATTTCCACAACTTACATCAAAGAAGGACAGCAATTTGTCCTCTGATCTTCACAGATTCAAATGGGGCAATAAATAAATAGATAGATAGATAGATATTAAACCTATCACTTCACCTTATTATCAGTGTTCTAAGAAACACATAGCTTTAGGTGATTATATGAAAGGAATAAATAATTCTTACAAGTTATAGTTGCTTACCCACACTACACATTATCAAGCCCTAAGATGGTTGCTGAGTCAGTCTTGGACTTCTGTGAAAGTAGACTGTTAATTTTCACCATCAAATTGCATAGATTAGAATTACCTAGAAGGTTGTTTCTAGAGACAGGAAGTCACATCCAGAATGTGGGCTGGAGTCCTAAACCAGGAGGAGCAGGAGGGGGAGGAGGAGGAGGGAGAGGGGGAGGAATAGGAGGTGGAGGAGGAGGAGGTGGAGGATAATAATAATAATAATAATAATAATAATAATAATAATAAAGCTGAGTACTGCATCCTTTTCTCCATGTAAAGCAAATGGATGTAGTGTTGAACAAATGGTATCATCACATGGCTGCCATGCCTTCTCTGCCAAGATGACCTTTACATCCCTTGCCTTTTTCAGGTATTTTGTCTCTGCAATGAGAAAAGCAATTAATATAAAGTTTGATATGTAAATGAAAGTTTTTATGATCATGAAAATTATTGCAGACACCAACCTTGAAATGGTTGTGTCTCAATGTCCTTCCTAATAAATCAGGAGAATATCTCATTTGATATTTCTGCTTGCAAAGAGGATCATGTGCAAAAATGCATTCAGAAATGTGTGAGGCATTCTTTGCATCATGTTTTAAAAATAAATAAAATATGTGAAACGAGTAACATGGGTGGAATAGAAAAAAAATGTACCAAGTTTTTAAAGGAGATAACCACTGAGGCTAATGAAAGCAGGCGTGTGAATTTCCTGGGGAGATCAGAAATTGATCTCTTTTCATAGTAACAACTGAATGGAATTTGTCCTGCTATTTCAAACATTTACCCTGGTATATTGTAGTTTCAACAAACAAATGAAAGAGAAGGAATGTTCACTATTGAGGCATGTTAGGATGCCCCTTGCATCACGTTAGATTTAAATAGGGCCTCTTGGTAAGGATAGGACCAGCATCTCCTCTGTGTCCATTTAGAGTTGCCCCTTTGAGGATGAAGGGCATGTAACCTTATTCTCCAGGATTTCATTATTTTTCTCCCCTCAAATTTAGTTTGTATCCTCCTTAAGGAATTATGATGATCCAAATGCAAACAATTTATGAGAACCCAAGTGGGGGGGGCAAAGTAAAGCAGAATTAAACGTGGTCTTCTGAAGATCCATTCAATATGAATTCCTCACAAATGAAGAAACCAATCTTTGCCCAATTTTTAAAATTAGCTACCTCCTTAGCTACTTAAGCTGTACATATTCTTGACTGTAGTTAAAAATCTATAAATTTCTGCCAGCCAATACTCAATGCTCCTTTTCCTTGAATCACCTTAAAGAATGTAACTTTAAAATTTTATGACTTTACATTAGAGAAAAACATAAATTTTAGTATGTTTTCTTATATTAAGAAGAGAAAGTTTATTCCTTTGATTTTTACGAGTTGAACATTTCAGCGCATCTACGGTTCTGCCTTTTATTTCAGGAACAGATGAAATGCCAGTAGCTCCTTGAGCCTTAGTTAACTAAAACGCAAGTGTCAACCCAGGCATCACAGCCTTTTCTGTAGAGGACATCTGCGACCTGCTGCCTCCCGGATTCCTTCTGACTTCAGCAGCCTGAGGATTAGACACATGCGCAGGGTTGGTCTCTTTGTGTGTGCACCAGGAAGGGTTTGGCTTCGATTTACACTTCCCAACAGGGCAAAGACCTGGAAAGGCCACGTGTGCCTAAAACTAAGAATGTATTACAGAACCATCTCTAAAACAAACAATAGTTTTGCTCCCCTTTGCCTTCTGTGAACCTGTGAAGTCCCCCGCTGATCTGTCCTCACTGCTAATCACTGGCGAGATTAGCAGCAGTGGAATGAGGATCCATGTCCTTAGGAATCCACGCCTGGGCGAGTGGTGCCAGCACAGGGCTGTGGTGGGAGCGGTACCCTAGGCGCGGGTGGCAGGCAGAGCTCCCTGCCGAAGAAGTGAGTGATGGAGTGCATCTTGCCAGCATCCTCCAGCCCTGCCACCCCGCGGGCAAGGGGGAGGGAGCTGAGCGGGCGCAATGGCCCGCCCCGCCTTCCCTCCCCCTCCTCCGCGCCGGGGAGCCGCGATGGTGCGCTCTGGCCAGCTGTGCGCCGCCGAGTGAGGCGCCAGCCCGTGGGTGCTGCCGGGGGCGGCGGGCGGAGGGGGGGCACAGCTGGGGGCGGCGCGGGCCACGGTGCTCCACTCGTGGCCGGGGGCGAAGGTGACGACCACTCGCGAGGTGCTGGAGCTGTTGAGCAGCTCCGGGCCCGATTCCTGTTCCTGGTGCTTGGCGGCCCTGCTGTCGACCCTGCGTCCGGGCTGGCAGGAGCCTGGGGAGGAATTGGCGGTGGCGCGACTGCCGGCAACGGCCGGCTGGATGCGAGACCTGCGTGGACCCGGCGGTGGACAGCGGTTGGGTTGTCGACTCCAAGAAGCAGATTGTCCAGTAGAGGAGCTCTACCGCGCTGGCCATGGCCTCCAACTTTAACGACATAGTCAAGCAGGGCTATGTGAAAATCCGCAGCAGGAAGCTAGGGGTAAGTGGCTAACTCGGTTTTCTCCTTTTCCTCCGCTCCAGTGGCCTGGCGGGCTGCTGGGGATGGTGGCACTCGGGGAGAGGTGACCCACGCCGGTACCAGGACAGCTGGCCTTCCCCAGATAGTCCGCTTGTTGCTTGACCCGAGAAGCGCTTAGCCTAGGGGACTCTGCACACTGAGGCGAAGGCTCTGGAGCGCCTAGAGTCTCTTATCCTTAAGTGCACTGGGCTCCTGCTGACCACAGCGAGAAGTCCAATAGAAAACAGGGATTGTCAGTTCATAGATATATGAGCCATGGGCATTTATTGCATTCGGTGCAACCCACAATGATTTCTCTTAAAAGTGTGCGCCTCTCGGGAGAACTGCTGTGTGCTGACAGCAGTGGTAAAAGGTATCTTTCTTTATGTGTGTTTATAGTCACCATTTCCTGGTCTTCTTTCCCCAAGCCATTTCGAATTCTCTTTTGATGCCTCTTAAGCGCAGCACATTCCTTTTGGCTACCATGAGGACTTTAACGTACACTTAATAGTTGCCCACTGGCTGACTGCCTCATCTGCTGTTTTCCCCGACCTGTATATTTGTGCCTGTGTATAGGCAAGTGTGCATTGGTGCACCAACGCTACTGCAGGAAAGTCCGTGGAGGCAAAGTTTATGGAATTTTACTTTCTTCTTGAGAGATGTTTGGTCTGACTTGGGGTACAGTGTAGACCTGAGCTGGGAAGTGAGAGGGAAGACAAAACTTCTCTGGTGAATCCATAGGCATTTTAAAGGGAAGTGCTGACTGTCCTGAACGGCCCTGGGATATAGATGGAAAGAATGGGCCGGCACCTGGAGAGGAGCTGTCCAGATCTAATGGATATGAACAGAAGCAGACTAACTTGCAGGGGTATCCCCAACTCCAAGACACAGCAGTGTGGCCTCCCAGGTTCACCTGGCTACAAAATGAAAGGGGAATTCAACTCAGTATGCAAGGGAGTGGGGGTTTGCCCATTCCCTAGGCTGTCTGCCTTTCTGAGTTCAAAAGTTCTTATCCTGAGACTTTCTGGAATCCTGGCTTGGAGGTGGAAAGTGCCCAGATTTCTAGTAGAGGATGGGTGAATATTCCAACTTGGAGAAAGGAGGTGAAGGGACCTTAAATTTATGCATAGAAGGAGGGAGATAGTAGATTTGAGAATAAAAGCAGTGTGTCTTTGGGTAGTTTCACAAAGGTAAAGAGCAGCCTGAGAAGAAGGTACATCATCATCCCGTGTTCAGAAGTGGTTTATGAACCCTTAGCTGGAGGCAAGTGATGGAGACAGCAAGCTGCCTCTTGTGCTGCCTTTGCTGGCATTCTCACTGAAGACAGACAGGCTCAAAGGACACATGGATCCCTTCTCAAACTTAAGAAGATTACCAAATGCTGGATGCTTAAGGAGCAAGAAATGCATAGCTAGCTAGGACAACAAAGTTTACGTCCCAGATTTCCATCCCCCAACCAAGTGCCCCACCTACACAACAGAGAGAGGGAGGGGCAAGGTCTCAGGTGATTTTTTTGGGTAGATGATCATGCCTCATCCCCCACCCCTAGAGATAAGGACTGACTTGGTGAAACCTACAACTATCCAAGGAGCCAGTTGCTATTCAGCAATCTCTTACCTGTGACCCCTGCAGCTGCCGGCCAAAAAAGACTAGGTAGGATTCCTGAAGAATGGGAGTCCTCCTTACTTGACCTCTGACTCCCTTTGCTCTGACATGGTGCTTATATCTTACCTGTCTTTTCAGTTCTGTTGAACTCTAGTTTTGTGTGAATCTTCCAAATGTGTGAACTAATGGAATAATTAAGCTTCCTTCCTCTTCTCAGTGAAATATGCTTCTACTCTCAGACAAGGAACATGGGGCTGACAATTGGAGAACTCCCTCTCTTTGCCCATTTAAGTTATCCAGGATTACATACTATAAGACCGGCATGTATAGTCTAGTTACATGATAAAGTTCAAGGAAAGGCCACCAACTGCCTCCAGAATAACTTGACATTAAGAGCACACGAAATGTCACTCAAGAACACCATTTCCACCTGACCATGTGTGCACATACAAATTTAGAGCAAAGAATATTCTGTAAATTCACTATTTATTTAAACATAAACACTTTTAAAAGGCAGGCCTCTTTAAAAACATTGAAAATGCGTCTATATACAAACTATTTTTATCTTTGACTTCTTTTCTGAGTGAGGAATGTGAGCTTTAACATCCAATGTTTGAACCCTTTATTTTTTAAATGTCCTTAACCATTTTTAAAGCTAATTTAATAAAGAAACTTCATATTATATATTTATTTTCTGAGTATTCTTACATTCAAAAGAGTAAGTCAAATGTCAAAGCTCTGTATTGTTGATTCTGTGACAGTTTATAAGCAGGTCCCATGAGATAGTAAAACCCTAATTAAAATAATAATGTGTGCACTTAAGAATTGAAATGTATTATCATACCCCAAATCATAGAAATAGGTATTGAATAGGCATAATATTTACTTTTACGATTAATGGTTTATGTTTCTAATTTATGGACTCCAAGCTACACATTCTTTCAAACAAACCATTTGTAATTCTATGGATATATGATGCTTCTTGTGTGGTTTTAGGCAGCATTTATTTCAACAGATAAAGAATTGTAACTGTATTTATGCTTATATTTGGTATATTATGAAAAGAACTCATTTTCAGCAGTCAAATTTTATAGTAATTTGTTGAAAAATGGCTAGTGCAGGAGGCCAGTTGCATACTGCATACCTGTGACATAAGAACATATTTTGTGATAAAATTTTATGTTATACCCCTCTAAATGAGTGGTTAGAATCACACTGAAGGGGAAAAGGAAAATATTTCTTGATCTCTGGGTATGTTGGTTTCAGGTTATAGTGACTGGATGGCATTCACCATGGTCTTTAGTTGACAGTCTACTCATTTGGACAAATCATTTACAAAGAAAAAATTGAGTCAGCTTTGAGATTTGTCTTGATTCATCAGCAATCTTTTATTCCATTTAGAAATATTATATTATTATGATTATCTTCACTGTTATTATTATTTTGTGAAGGGACTATGTGTCTTAGATAGGCCTCAAACTAGCATTGTAACCGAGGATAACCCTTGAACTTCTGATTCTCCTACCTCCATCTCCAAAATGCTAGTATTACAAGAATGTACTGCTCTACAATACTCAGGATCTAGGGTTTGGTACGTATCAGGCAAGAATTTTACCAAGTGAACTACATTCCCAACATCTGGACATTATTTTGAGGAATAACTATCCTCAAGCACATATACACCAGAAATATAGTATTTTATTTAGGATTGGATTTCTATGTATTATTCAAAGCCTGGTGAATGATTCACATTGGAAAGTGGGGGTGCCAAAAGAGTATCTCAAGGTATTTTGGTGTGTGTGGTTGTGTATAACTATGCATAATAAACAAATAACGAGGTGGTCACGGAGTCCATACAGTTCATCAGATAGCATATACTGATTTGTGTGTGTCTGTGTGTGTTACAAAGTCATGTTGTGCTAAGCCATCTCTACTCACACTGAACTCTTTTGTACTACTAAGCACCCTGGACCACATTCGCTTCCCAAGTTTGGCTGTTAGGGGAGACAAAATGTGGAGAAAAATACTTAAAATCTTCGGTACATGCTGATTTATGAAATTGAGTGCAGACACAGTATTTTCAATGTTTATCAGCATACAATTTTATAACAAACTGAATTCACACCTTCTGCCATCTCTCTTCAGTGAAAACCCTGAGACATGTATATTCCTAACTTAATAACTCTTGATTTCTGTTCTCAAACATGAGGCTCTCTCTCTATTATAAAGTTTCCCTCTGATGATAAGAGATGGAAGAAGGTAGTTGCTCATGACAGACTAGCTGTGAATGCTAGACCCTGTAGAGAAGCCAAGTCATCAAAACAATTAGCACAGAATGAGAATCAGAAATTTGTTCATTGGAGAAAGTTAAGCCTAGTCAATCTCTCCTTCGAATCACTAAAACTGCTTCTTGAAGTGAAGTTGTATTCTATATAACATACTTTAGCATGTCATAAGAATTAGATAGAATAGATAAATTTAAGACACAATCTTAAATAGTCAAGATAATGATCTTAGTAACTAGAAACTTAAAAAGAACATCCAAGTTCATCTTTACCGATATGAGTACTCAGTGTTTTTAAGATACGGACTTTTACTCCAATGTTTAAATGTTTATTTATACTATTGTTTGTCTTGAACATTGCTTTCAGAAAAGGATCCATGATATGACTCATAATCATGGCAAATTTACACTTATGAAGTAGCAACAAAGACAATTTTATGTTTAGGGTGACTCCAACATGAGGAGCTGCATTAAAGGGTCACAGAATTATGAAGGTTGAGAATCACTGCTCTAAGTACTCATAGAAATCCCTAAAATGATTAAATTAATAGTTTCATGATATTCTGGTCAAATATCTTTGTAACATATACATTCTCTACTTCCTTGTTTCCAGAAACATACAACCATGGTTGATATTTTGCAGGATATGTAGTAGCATAAAGAATTTGTCTAATGCCACTAATGAAGTATTTTGTTACTAACTGATATTTTTGTTGTACCATAATAAGTCATGAGGAGACACCTGTGTGGAACGATGAAATAATCAGACCCTTGCAGTACTCTGTTTACACAAACCACATCATAAAAGCCAGAACATAAGGCAGCGACCATATAAACAGAACAAAAAATGACCTTTTCCTTACTTTATTATTATTATTATTATTATTGGTTTTACGAGAGAGGGTTTCTCTGTATTGTTTTGGAGGCTGTCGGTCCAGCCTGGCCTCGAACTCACAGAGATCCACCTACCTCTGCCACCCGAATGCTGGGATTAAAGGTGTGCACCACCACCGCCTCCTTACTTTTTAGATGATGCATAGACATCACAGTAGGAAATTTTAGCTTAAAAGGAAAAGTAATTTATATCAAGTGA